CACATAGATGCCTCAAAATGCAAGGAAATCACCCTAATGTACATACATCGCTCAGCCTCCCCAACTGGACGAGGAGCTGTAGTTTTGAAATGGTAGCAATACCCGCGCAGGCAAGAAATGCTTTCTAAGGTAGTGTGTTCGCACTGTAATTCCATAGCTTAGCACGTCGTATATGCCCTTCGGGAGGCGAGATGGTGGACTTTGTCCCTATTAACTAGACGTAAAATGAATACCAACCAACCAACCAACCTACGGATATCCATCTGAACTCTTCTGGAGCAACTCCGTAGCCACATTACGAGACTACTCCCGAAATCTCTTGATTTCTCTCACAGCCGTCTTGAGAGGCAGAGAGCGCCCGATCATATTCGTCTGCCATAGTCTGGGGGGCATAGTCTGCAAGCAGGTGAGCAACTTGTTAATACTGGGTCGATGCGATTCTGATCTCTATCGAGGCTCTAGTCCTAGCGCATGAGGACGATCACCGATATGCCGACATACTCTATGCCACTTCAGCCATTGTTTTCTTTGGGACTCCACATCGTGGCTCCAAAGGAGCTGATATTGGTAAAATGGTTGGAAGAGTGGTCAATATGTGTTTACGTGCATCACAAACCGCCGGTCTAGCTGGGACAATAAGAAATGACCTTCTCACCACTCTGGGGTCTAATTCTCAAGCGCTGAGCGACCTCGCTGTCTCATCTCGAAATCGTTTGAGAGACTTGGGGATCGTGACATTCCACGAAACAGAAACCATACCTGGGCTGTCTGAATTGGTATGACTATCATAGAGGTTGCTTCTCTGCGCAGTAGTGACTAACCTGTCTCCTAACATAGGTTGTTGATCAGCATTCCGCTATCATGGAAATACCAGGCGAGGATATCATACCACTCTTCGCAAACCATAGAACTATGTGTCGTTTTGAAGGAGCAACGGACGACGGTTACAGCTACACCTTGAAGGCCATTGATCGATTGGCCAGAACAGCTCTCTTGAGCAGAGAGATGGCAACAAAAGCGGATCGGACATCCTCCAACCAGTGTATGTAATGATGACAAAAACACGAGGGAGTACTGGCTAAGCAATCCGATAGCCTTGAGCGAAACAGAGAAATCCTGCATGGTCCTTCTTAATTCTATCCATCTTACAGAATACAAAGCACTACTACCAACGCCAGTACAAGGGACCTGTAGCTGGATCCTGAGCCACCCTGCATATCTAACCTGGATAAAAGCTGAGGAATCGAGAGTACTCTGGGTTACGGGCGAACCAGGCTGTGGCAAAACAATGCTCTCTGCCTATTTGACGGATCACTTGAGGCTACGTCACGCCACCGCCTCCAAACCTCAAGTCTTCTTCTTTTTCTGCGACGACAAAATCAAATCGCAGCGAGACGCAAACGCTTTACTTAGAGGCATTCTTTACCAAATCCTACAGCAACATCGAAAACTCATTAGGCATGTAAAGAGTCGATTCGAAATGGATGGGCCTAGCCTCGCAAACTCATTTCCAGCGCTTTGGGAACTTTTCCTGAAAGTAGCTGCTGATTCAGCACCGGGTACTGTCGGAGTCATAGTGGATGCGATTGACGAGTGTGAAGTCAGGACACGCAACAGCTTCCTAAAGGCAATGAACCAACTAGTAAACGAGCGCAAGGATGCACATCGACAAGATCGCAACTACATCAAGTTCCTGATAACCAGCCGTCCTTCGCTCGGCAATTCACATCATCTCACGGAGTTGACGGAGAACAGACTACCAATCGAGCAAAACCAGATCATTGTCAGCGAGGACGTGAAGTTGGTCATCCGAAGCAGAGTTGGCGAAATTGCGAACAAATTTCAATTCGATGACGAGATGAAACACTATCTGGAAGAATCGCTGTACACAAAGTCTGATCAGAGTTTTCTCTGGTTGAACATGGTACTCCAAAGTCTGGAGAGCAGTCCAAGGGCGTCGAAGAGAGACTTTGAAAGGTTCATCAACACATTCCCTCAGAACCTTGAGGCTACTTATGGCAAATTTCTAAGTTCAATCCCGCCTAGGGATCGAGAGGACGCTGAAAAATTCCTACATCTGCTCGTTGCAGCCTCAAGACACTTGACGTTAATGGAACTGAATGTTGCCTTCACAATTGATCAAATCCACAAATCCACAGTCGATTTAGCAAATGATCTGCAGCTTTCTATACGCTCGACGCTACAAAACTTTGTAGGATCCTTCATCCGGATCAAGGAACTGGATCGTAGCTCAAAGGACGATCTTATTGTTTCCCTTATACACCAGTCCGCTAAAGAATACCTTACAGACCTCGCACTCCGTTCTACAGACAGAGTGGTGCAGAGCCTCGCGGTTCCTCTAGTGGATGCAGCACTCAGTATGTCTCAGTCGTGTATACGATATCTTCTCATGGAGGAGTTCAAGACGGACCTGTTTGCGTCGGAAAGGACGAGCGTCGAAAGTGGCTCGCCCAATTCATCTCATTTCTTACCTTTCACGGACTCCGACACAGCGGACTCGGGTGGTCCTCTCGGCCTAGACGATCATCTCGGCCTAGAGAACTTCTTCAAAGACTCGCAGGAACTGGAAGAGGCACAATGTGCGCTGATCGCCCAAGAATACAGATTCTTTGATTATTCCGCGACTCATTGGGCAGAGCATTACTCGCTTTGTGAAGACGTCGCCCCAAAGTCCATCCGGGAAGCTGTCCGCCAACTGACAGCAAGCTCCAGCTGCGCTTTGACCAACTGGTTGAAATTCTACTGGATCAAAAACAACATCGAGTACTCATTCCCGGATACTTTCGAAACAATCGAAGTGGCCGCATTCTTCAACTTGAGCCTGCTGCTTGCCGAGGTCATAGAGAATGCAAATGTTAGAAGCGAGACAACCAAAGTCCGAGCGTTGTTCTGGGCGGCGAGAATGTCCTCCCCGGATTGTATGAGGATTTTGCTCCAGCATGGCGCAAGCCCTAACAGCATCGGTATCGATCGGCAAACACCCTTAACTGTATCTGCGCAGTACGGGCATCTGGATGCTATCCAAGTGCTTCTCGATGAGCCAAGTACAGAAGTTGCTTTGAGAGGTAAATCTGGAAGATCAGCACTGTCGTTTGCAGCGGCAAACGGGCACTTGGATATCGTTGATGTCCTGCTCAAACGAGGAGCGTTCAGTCCGGACGATCAAGATAATATGCATTGGACTCCACTCTTCTGGGCCGTGCAAGGGGACTACGCAGGCATTGTGCAATTACTATTAAAACAGCCGTCGGTCAATGTCAACCAGGTCGATAAATCTGGACGCTCGGTCCTATCCTGGGCTGCGGGAGAGGGCGCCCGGCGAGCTTTAAAGATCCTTCTCAAGCATCCTCCCGTTGAACTCAATCTCAAAGATGCTCAAGGTCGTTCTCCGTTGTCGTGGGCTGCAGGTAATGGACAAAGAGAAGCGGTCAGTACTCTGATGCACAAAACTGGTGTTGATAAAACCACCAAAGATAAAGACATGCGCAACGTAATTTCATGGGCATGTCAAGGCGGACATACCGACACGCTGCGCACATTACTCAAATATGGTTGTGGCGGTGTGGATGATGTAGATATTGATATCTGGACGCCACTACTGTGGTCACTATTTGTTCGTTCCCCAGCGACGATAGAAACACTCCTCTCCACTCGCCGTGTGCAAATCGACCGTCAGGATGGTTACGGTCGTACGGCATTAATATGGGCTGCAAGCTACGGATATCTAGACGTGGTACAGCTTCTAGTATCGTGGAATGCGACTGTGCACATCAAGAACCATGGGGGACATACTGCTGCGGATGTCGCAAGATTGGAAGGGCAAATTGAGGTGTGGGAGTTTTTAGAGGCTCAGCAAGACAGGGCAGTAGAGAGAAGTGTGGATCTGCGAGTGGGAACGTGACCCCATTACAAGTTGGTCTTGCGAACGACGAGCGAGCCAAAAGGAACAACCGCGCTTTGAATACGGCACAACCCAGACTCAATGGTGCAGCCCTTACCTATCTGAATGTTTTAGCCGATGCACATTTTTTCTTGCGCTGCCTACATATTGTACAGCCAGTTCTGATTCGTGTGTGAAACGCTTCGTGATCTGCTTCGGCCTAACTCCTTTAATGAACACACGTGGTTGTTGTACGCCTCTCTTGAGGAGGGAGTTTGCGATTGCCTAGTGGCAGTCTGCATGTGTTTCGTTGCTCAGGAAGCAGAAGCCCGCAGAAAAGAACGTCTGCAGGTTGGTGCAGCCTAGTATGTGCAGCAGTGGAAGCTTGCACTTGTTGGTTCGATAGGTGCAATCCACCAGCAGGACATCAGGATTCGCTAGCAGGAGTTCAACCTGCTTCTAATGGGCGCAGAAGAGGTTCTGGATGCGATTGTTATCGTCCTTCTTGACAGCGAAAACCCACTCTGCCGTAGATAGATCGTCTAGCAAAGCCTCCACCGGACTCCTTCCATCTAAATGTCTCTCTCTGATCGTCTTTGCCTCGCCGCGGATGTCAGTGGTAGAGATCAGTGTGCCCTGCTTCCAGCTGCCTCTGGGATCGGACAATGCAAGCTCGTTTGCCTGCTTTCCGAATGCAAGTTTCGTACGACCCGGCAATAGCTATCAACGGGTGGAACTGCGACTTCCGCTTACTTGACTTTTTATTGATAAACGGACCATCCTCCCTTTCCGATTCTGATTCCTACCACACCGTTCTACAACCCCGCAGCGTACGGTGGAAGGCAGCAACCATGGTGTACAACGCGACATCTTTGCTGCCACCTCAGAGGCCGAGATCCATGACGCGCTCACGAGCCTGTACTAACACGAAGCCACTGTCACTCAGCGACTCAACGACCTCATCGCATCGCACAAAGACCTGTCGCGAGAACTCAGTAGACTCGACCTGCTTCACGCACGCAAGTCGCCCACGCACGAGCGATCAGTAATACCATGCTCTAAAACCACACTACAATCGCGAAACGAATTTCGAATGCTGTCAAGCAACTAGACCACGAGCAATCCAACGTCAAGGCAACACTAGAGGTCGTAGATCAGATAGTGGAACTCAAGACTTGTGTTCTAGGTGTTCATGAGTCTATGGAAGCCTCGCAAGACTGGGAAACTGCCGCTAGCTATATCGGTCGAGCCTCCAGAATCTCTAGCGATGTTATAGATAGCAGCTTTGCAGAGGAGGTCGTGCCTACAGCAGAAATTCCCGATCCGTCGCGGACTACGCTGGATGCGGCCACCGACTCGCTTTGTGGCTTATTCTTGCGCGAATCCGAAAAGGCTGTACGGGACAGTGACAGCTTCCGAAGAGGAATCATATTTTGCGTGATAGAAAACTTCGGCAACTTAGGTTTGTGCAAACCTGCATGCGATTTTGTGGTCATATGTGCCTTTATTTTCCCTAAAAGAGTTTGAACAGCCTTATTAAGACATAACTTATAGAATGCTACACCAAGCAAAAGTCTTTGCATTTGATTGCTAAATTGTTCCAATTAAGGCCCCATATCGTACAAATGTGGAAATGAGGTTGAAGTAGAGATAGCGTCTTGATTGTAGAAATTCAAAACTTGAGATTGTTCTTGAACTGTGCTTCTAGATCTTCTAGACCTTCCTTCGTAGCACCTTGCTGAGTGTCGACATCGGCAGTAGAAACGACGCGATGAGGATCTTTTTTCGCTAGATCTCGGAGCGTCTTGCTCTCTGCATTGGAGTTGATCTGCAGATGGAGTCGGAGTTTGTTTGGTTGACCGTGGACCGCTTCCCCCTTGTCAACGCGGATTCCATACTTGGCATCGTTTTTGGAGTTCCTGGCGGGGTAGACACGACCTCCCGCACCATCTGCACTTGGATTGAGAAGGCGGGACATTGCGGATTTGCTCTTCGCAGCATCGTCGAATAGCTTCTGGATAGCCTTTTTGACCGAGTTGGACATTGTATCTATAGCTCTGATATGTCAGACATAGCTTACTCAACATCGGATTTGCATACAAGGTAGAACTTCTCAAGGGGGTTGACTTTGGTGGTGGAGGTACAATAGTTGGTACACTGTTCTTGTCTTTAACTTGATTACAACTCTATCTGCGATCGAGCTTCTCTCATACCTTTCCTATCGAGTTTCTGATCCTTGGGAGATTACTCCAGGACACCTGTGCCGCTTTCATCGCCAGTGTTGGCGTCAGGAAACTTGATCTCGGCATTGCTTCGAACACTGACGATACGTTTATCGAAGCGCCAGCTGCCTATGCGACAGGAATACATTGCGGCGCTAAAATTGTGGCGAAGCTGGCTCTCCTCATCTCACCCTGTGGAGCTTCGATGTGCTCCATCAGTACCAAGCAACATGCATAGAAACAGAGAGTGTCTCAGCAACAGACACGCCCTGCGGATATCACTGAATCATAGCAGGTGGGGCTATATGAAAATACACGCAATTTATTTATGTATCATTTGGTGTTTCTGTTGCTGTTCGCTGATCGGGCTCTTTCTTGGTCGGCGCGTGGCAGCGGGTGCCGTTCAGCCAAGGCGCCTAGTGGCATTGATCGTCAAATAGCGCGCCTACGCGCGCGCCAACGCGCGCGCCAACGCGCGCGCTAGCACAGCTCGACATTATCTCACAACGCGAAGTGTTCCTCCGCCTCGATCGCATTCAGTATGGCACTCCTTGCTGCCTCAGCTACTGTTTATCGAACGTCTACCTCGAACGCGATTCTAAATTCTTTACCAATAAGTTGGTTTCGCCGACAGCTCTTTAATTATTCTCAATTCGCGACGTCAGCTCGACCAACTTCGCCCTCACCACCGCATTTCCGACAGTACACTATGACATCCCACGACGCCGACATCTCTCGAGACTGCGATGTGGAGCAATTTTACAATTATACCTCGGGTCGGTGGCTTTGGAATGAAAAGTATCAGCTTGCTCGACGTTACGTTGAGTTCGACCTGTCAGGACTCCTCCAAGTTTCAGCGCAAGCAATCGGAGCTCGCTCTTGCGTTAAGGTCGAAAAACTGCCTGAAGGAAACTTCAGCAAGGTCTTCCTGATTACCATGGACGACGGCCGAGAATTAATCGCCAAACTACCAAACCCGAATGCTGGACGGCCGCACTTAACGACAGCCAGCGAAGCCGCCACTATGGACTACGTACAGGCTCCCTGACCCATTACAACTGATAACTGCTGACAAAAAGTTACGTTGCAGGTGCGAAACGTCCTTAATATCCCAGCGCCACGGGTATATGGCTGGAGCTCCTCGACCGACAATCCCGTCAAAGCAGAGTACATCTTGATGGAGCGCAGTGGAGGGGTGGAGTTAGGCAAGATATGGCATGAAGTATCTTGGGAGGAAAGACTTGAGGTTGTCAGGACCTTAGTTGGGTACGAGAAAGCCTTTGTGTCTGCCAATTTCCCTATGTACGGGAGCTTGTATTATGCGAAGGATCTCCCTACTCCGAGCCCAAGTCAACACCTTGACTCAGTCAACTCGATAGACAACGGAGAAGCCTTTGTAGTTGGCCCAACAACTAACAGAGCCTTCTTTGACCAAGGAAGAGACTCCGTCGAAGTAAATCGAGGGCCGTGTAAGTTCCCTTACCTCTGCCGTCATGCTCATCTCAAGCTGATTAGATAACAGGGCCTTCACTCGGCGAATATATCCATTCTCGCGCCGCCCGAGAGCTAGCGTGTATTGATAAGTTCTCGTCGTATCCTGCCCAGCAAGGGTTATTCAGCGGCCCCAACCAATACCGTCCGACTAAAGCACTGAAGGTCGCAGTCCTCCAGGATTATCTGAAAGTCGCAACCCATATTCTGCCCAAAGATGTCAACCTATCAAAGCCTACTTTATGGCACTCTGATCTGCATGGTGACAACATCTTCGTTGACCCTTCCCAGCCGACAAAAATTCTTAACATCATCGACTGGCAAGCGGTTAACATTTCCCCGCTCTTCCTCCAAGCACGCCACCCTTCGCTCATCGAGTTTGATGGGCCAATACCAGAAGGCTTTAAGCCCATAACACTACCCGATGGTTTTGATGGCATGAGTGAGGAGGCACAACTTCAAGCTAAGAACCTTCGAGCTGCTCAATCTCTCTATAAGCTTTATGAGATACTAATGCTCCGGCAAAGTCCAGAGGTTGCTCATGCGCTGCACTTTCGAGAAACCCTGCACGGTCAAATTACGGGACTGGCAAGCTCGATCTTCAGTGATGGAGAGCCAGTCCTCCAGGGAATGCTCATCCGACTTCAAGACGAGTGGACCACGTGTGTTGGATTTTCTATACCGTGCCCTCTTTCCTTCAATTCTAAGGATAGGACCCAGCAGCAATATCTCGAGACAAGTTGGAGCGAAGGTGTTGAGCTAATGCACGAGATTTTGACCGAGATTGGTGCATACCAGGGATGGGATGGTTGGGTCAATCATAACAACTACCCTGTGTACAAGGAACGGCTGGCCCGATGTCGAGAGGACTTTCTCAATCGCTATGCAAAAACCGAAGAGGAGAGAAGTCAATGGATCCAAGCTTGGCCGTTTGAAGACAAAGCACATCCGCCAACTTATTTGTGAGTTCTTTGTCTATCAATACTTCTGGAAGAACGTCATGTTTTGTCTTGCTTGGGTGTGGCATAGAATACAGTACTCTAAGGCAAATGGTTAAATACTGATTTACGTAATCTCGCTAAGTGAGCTTTGGATGCATGCTTCAGATCTTTCAACGCAGATAAATGTTTACTGTATTATACTAGGAGCGAAGCTTCAGTTGTTCATGGTATTTTTTAGAGTAACAAGCTATCGCCTGAGGTATCTGAGCCTTAAACATCAAAGATGATTGGGATGTAGCAGGGGTGTATAGTTGCCACTGTCGAAAGCGCCGTGTGAGGGACGACTGAGAACGTAAGAAGGGCAACGTAATTTAAAATGCACGCCATGGATCGTGGGAGAACATCCTAAGGAACATAATGTCTTTAATAAAAATTTGACAGATTATGGAGTTGGCGAAAAACATGCCTAAGCAACCAATTTTTTCTGCGCAGGGTGTCTTTCAGGGCGCATGGGGGGATAGCAGATACCACCAAGATTATCAGAGAGCAAATCCAGTACGTTACTAGACTTATCAACCTTGATAGACCTAACATTGCGAGTTCTCGCCAGATGCAACGCCTCAGGAGGAAAGCCTATGTTCGCCTCAAAGCTTCCGTAAAGCTTTCTCGTCATTTGTTAATGGTCTGAGCATAGAAGAAGAAGGCAATACTGGTTTACAAGTTGCCTAGCAGAAGGATATACATTTCTTTAGAACCTTCTCACATGTGCGGTTGTGTGTCCATTTACTCTAAAGCAAGAGTAAACTTCAGCAGGCAATAACTACTAGAAGGACTTAGATAACCTCCCTCCCTATGCGGCGAAAACCCCGGTGGGCCGAAAACGACCAATGAGAGCGCAAGAATAGCAGATATATTGACCTGACGCAGCGTCCCATTGGTCATTTTCGGCCCACCGGGGTTTTCGCCGCATAGGGAGGGAGGTTAAGACTTTAACGCAGGATTTATTTTGCGAGAAGGAAGTGGCGAATGTTGCAAGGTATTTCCATCACGAGACGGTCCGCGTTGGTGGTCGAGAGGACGATATTCGCACGAACGTACGCAGAGGCCTGGACATTATAAAAGCGGAAAATTACGCGCCCAAAAAGGTGATGCGGCCGCCGAAAACGATTGGGCGGCGGGCTTCACGAAAAGACAGGAGCAGCAGCCTTGCGGGCCGCAAGCGATCCTCAAGCTGCACGAATGCGCCTATGCCACGTAGCAAACGCGCAATCTTGCACTGTGTTTATCGGTTGTTACAGTCATATAGCTATCCGGGCCACTGGAATTGCTCTTATGAGATTTCCCAACCTATAATGCTCGCGTCGTTCGCATCATTGTCTGAACTAGCTGCTCTTATCAATTCCCTTCGGAGAGACGCCACTCGGCCAAAGCAGAAGACAAGAGGGCAAAGGAGCTGAGTTGACGTACAAGCCTATTTGTGTTAGACATGTCTCTGACGTTGTTTCAATACATACAAGTAACACGCTTCGGTAGAGTTGACCACTAATCATTCTGTTTGAGATAGACTGAACGTAGAGGACCACAGCGCTGCTTAGCAAGCAGAGCGCAACAGCCGCGTTCGAGATGGCGAACGCAAGCAACAAACTCGTGTATCTCGGATCATTCCCGCCTGCCCATTTGTGTACGTACAGCCTGTGGCCTGAGACTGTCGAAGCAAGGGCTGCCAGGCCGGTAAGGTATAAGAAGGAGTTGTATGTGTGCTGTGAAGTTCCGATCCTGCTGTAAATCAGTAAGAGACGCTATGAAGTGAGGAGGTGTAGCCTTGCCTGACGCTGTATGTGAACTCCATTGTTGTAGTGAGCAAGCATACTCCACATATAAATGGAGTTGTCCAGGTAGAGCTAGCGGAACAGCGGAGATTTCGAGCGAACTAAGTCGAATGTAAGTTCAAGCAATGCATATGTAACGAAGCTTTATACATTAATTGCTACATCAACTTGAAGGGCACTGAGTAAGAGTGACTCTAGCCAGTAGACCTGCAACCCGGTAGTGAGGGCAAACATTGCGCATACAATGGCAGCCATTATGAGTGCCAGCTGACCGAAGCCAAAGATGATGGGTAAGATCTTCTCAAAGTATGTTGTTCCCCTCGATCTGGGTCTCGCGATATCAACGTATAAGAGTGAAAGGCTCATGAGCAAACTAAAGGAGTGACTCGACACAAATCCAACAAGAAGTGAGTGGTCCATGACGGGTAAGAGATGATGATTTGACGCCTCGACTGGCAGAAGCTGCTCTATATATCCTTCGTCTCAAGCATCCACGTACAATGGGTCGGTGAAACAGCTCGATAGATAAGAACGAAGACAAGGCAGCAACGGAGCATCGGCATCATGATGCGCGATCGTGGATCCGTCCCAATAGAAGATGTGAGAAGTGCTCGCTGTGCCTCTCAGAGCCAGACGGTATCCGGGCAACCGAACGCCGACTTCAGACGAGGTAGAGTGGATCGAGAAGGTGCTGATGAGTGGTTTGGGTGGCAGGGTTTGCAACTAACACTGGTAAGATGAATAGCACAGACAGCACCACTGGCGCCGAAGTGTGGTTGGCGATCGGAAATTAGGTAGTATAAGAGAATGCTTGCCTTGTGCGGAACCAAGATCTCGTTCAAACTCCATGATGGACCTTCACTCGTCTCCTGATTCTACTCGTCCCCAATCAGATGGTACAAACAACTCACAGGCAACTGTGGAAGATCTTGACTTATACAAGGATTTGGTACGTGGAACACTGCATGATCCCTGAATACAATCTAAATAGCTAATACAATGCCTGGATTAAGGGATTGCATGTATTTGCGGACTTAAGAAGAAGCAACGAAGACCTAAGTGAAAACTTGATTGAGGCATCGTATCCCAAAGTACAGCAACGCAATGGAGCACTAAGTAAGTTCCGGCATACAACAATTGATGTGGCTGACCTTTCGTCCTAAGCAGAGGATGTGAGTGCACGCGTAGACGAGCTCAGACGTGACATAGCCGAGCAAAGCGAGAGAGTCATTGCGCTCGAGAAGGAAAACAGCGATATCAAGCGTATGCTGGTGGACTTTGAAGAATGTTTCAACAATCTAGGACAGAAACTGAGAGCAGGAACGAAGTTGCTGAAGAGACGGTCTGAGACCACAGGCGAAGCGAATGAAAGTAGGGCAATAGAGAAGAGGAAGAAGGTACGATTTACATGAGTATACTCCAGATAGTACAATGCAGGGTCTAGAACACGCAGAGATGGGCTGCTTCGCAATTTGAGAATGACTCATTCGGCCTCTTCGCGTCCGCGGTGGTCTTTTCCCCAGTCTTGCGCAGCTCCACTTTGTTCCATCCCCTACAACCTCGCGCAGGCCTTCTCCTTATTGCTGAGCGTCCTCTGCAGGTTCGCGCCTATGTTGCTCTCGTTCACGTTTGTGTCTCTCTTCAAGGGACACGCTATAGCGATGGTAGGACGAGAATGTCAACTACCATGTGTGTTTCTTAGAATAAGTATACGCACGCTCACATCTGATAACGTAAAAGAAGACAGGTGCGTGGCAGCATGAAATATGTAAGGGGAAAGCATTCGGAGTGATGGGTAGGACGAAACCAGTAGCGAGCGGCTCTCTTAATCCCTGTCCTTGGCGCTGCCATATGATCTTGGCATTTATCTTCAGCGCAGTTGCCAAACGTGTGTTCATTTATCAGCGAATTGAAAGATACTTGCCTGCGGTACAGAAAATCTTTGTGTGTACGAACTGAAGCGCCACGGTTGTGTACCTTCCTAGAGCCACTGTCACATGATGACGTCGCTCCTATGTGGTGGGGCAACAGACGGCAATGCAAAAATCTGTCCATTCCGCTCAGCCCGAGGCTTTCTTCCACTTAGTCTTTGATCTATCTGCATCAATACAACTTCCTGACCTGCGCGTTCTTGCTTGTCTTGTTGTTATGCTTCTCTGAGCGCCCCACTACCGTGCCGGAGCTCGTGCCGCACGGTTCCGCGTTCCGCACGCAGCACCCACCTCACGCACCATAGCAAAATGAGGCTGTAGAAACAGCCACGA